GCTCGTTTTTGCCACGTCCCGTAGAAATCAGGAGAAATTGCAGTAAATAAGGATGTAAGTGACCTGACAAAGAGCGCTGGGGATGTTCTGTTTGGTGTGTGGATTGCACACACGAGTAGGCAGCACAGTCACAGCTCGCTGCCACCACAGCCAGCGTACACCCTTGTGCTTTAAGGCTTCTCGGGCTCTTTGAAGCAATGACCACCACAGTATTTGTGGCTGCAGTATCAATCTTTGACCTGGAGTGTTTTATCTTCCATTAGTAAGCCTTTCTCTGCGCTGAACTGGTTAAGTTAGGGTCAAATCTGGTTCAATACCTTCTTGGCATGCTCAGAGGGCTGGGTTTAAACAGTTGCTGAGACGGAGATGAGGCTGCCTTCCTGAGAGCTCGTCCCCAAGCGCCGTGCTGCTGCTGCAGCTGGCAGTGCTCTGCCCCGGCCGGGGCTGGCAGGTCTGGGGGCCGCCTGTGCCGGGCAGGTCGCGGCTGGCACGGCGGTGGAGCAGCTCCGGGGGCTGGCGGTCACGCGTTGCCTTTTGTTGACTCTAAAAACACGGCTGCTTCTGGTGGGAAGCTGAGCGTGGCTGCGTGCTGGGGAGGTTGCATGGCGCACAGCCTCGGTTCCTGCTCCACGGAAGGAAATCCCATCGGGATAGTAGGCTGTGGCGTGAAAGGACACGTTTTAAAATAAAAGGACTCAAAGAGAGAAAATAAACCATCCTGAGACTCAGAGCCTGGAATATTAAGTGTGAGGCACAGCGTGTAAATGACTGGAGAGAGACTTGCAAGGCAGTCCCCGAGAAACTGAGCCTGGCTGTAAAATAAGCAGGTTACCGATAGCCTTGCATATATTTACGAGATACGGTTATAAGAGTAGCTTCCCCCCCTGCCCTGCTCCAGCACCTATGGGAGGTGGTTCTCCAGGAAGGAGAGCCGCCGGTGAAGAAACATTGTCTAGCAGTTAAAGCCTTGCAGTCCGGAGGTCTTGATTGCGTTCCTGGATCTGCCAGCGACTCGCTGTGTTCTTGGACCAGCCAGGGCGGCTGTCAGTACCCGGGGTTTCCAGCTCTATAATAGGAAGAATGCTTTCCTAACTCGGAGGGAAGTTGAGAGACTCAGCAGACGTGTGCACGCGCGGTGCTCGAAGATTGGTGAATGGAAAGTGGGACAGAAACGCAGAGTGTGAGTTCCGCACATGTGAGTGTCTGCCCTTGCCGGTTAGAAAATATTGGCTGCAAAGCAGCTGTGAATGTTGGACTGTAGATAAGGAGAGGAGCAAGGATGTTGTTTTCCAAACCCTGCGCGGTGCCGGGAGCCCTGCTCCGATGTTTGGGTGTGGCCTGTGAATGCACCAGCAGGATCCGACTTCCCCTTGCAGAAGAGGAGCTGCACGCACGTTGCCTGACCCTTGATCGCTCAATCCCTTGAACGTTGGAAACAAAGTGATGGGACTTTACTGTGGGGTGAGGAGATCTCTCCGGAGAGCTGGGAAAGGCAGGAAGGAGGAGGGCGGCAGCAGCGGTGCTGGGGTTCGGGGTTCAGTTCTGGGCTGGCTGGTTGGGACAGCCACCGTCACTTCCATCTGTGCCACGAGTGGCGTGGAACTGGGGAAAAGGCGGCCGGTCCTGAGACAGGCACTGGTAATGGATTGCGTTCTGTTTTCTAATGAAAGTTTCATTTGAAGTTTGTTTACAGGAAAGAAGAAATTAGCAGAGAGAATTCTCCTGAGAACTCAGAGAGGAAAAAGAATGAGCTGCCTGACTTGCAAGCCAAAAGAGGGTGGAAGGGTAGATTAGATTTACCGTATTGCTCCGAGTCGTAGCTGTTGCTGCTGTTGAGAAACGCTTCCTTGTTTGGCTGGACGGTGGAGCCTGCTTCAAGGCTCAGCCTTCAGCCAGGTTCCTGGCATCCAGGGGAAATTCAGAGCTGCCCATCCAGCCAGAAATTTTGATCCCGCTCTGGTGTCCTGTGTTTTGATGCCGGGACATGTGCTGTGCTGCCGTCCCACCGCTCCAGCAGACTGAAATGGGGCTGCTCCTGGGCTGGGGCTGGGCAGTCAGGGCTCTGGGTGTCACTGCCGGGGCCTCCTGTCCCTGGGACTGTCCCTGGCGTGAGGGGGACAGTGCCAGGAGTCACTGCTGGCGTTGATGGGCAGCGCGAGGAGGTCACAGCACTCAGCCTTTGGTCTCCAAGGGGTGTCCTGAGGAGGGAGCTTGCTGGTGGCCTCTGGTGTCCCAGCGAGCAGTGAGGGATGCAGACAAGGGGCAGCGGAGGCTGCCAGAGCCACAGTGATGGGGATGGCCAGAGCAGCTCTCGAGGTCGGGGCCTTCCTCTTGTTCTGGGGATGAGGCGCAAAGGTGTGAGGAGCTCCCAGGGCACCACGGCATGGGCAGAGCTGCGGGGGCTGCCCCAAGCCCGCAGGCAGCAGAGATGCTCTCTCAGCCGTTCCCACCGCTGGCTTTGGCTGCTCCCCGCTGCCATGAAGGGATCACCCTGATGCCACCTGCACGGTTGGCTTTGCATTCCCTTGGGGTGGGCTGTGCTGCGGGAGCTATATGCTGCTGGGAAGTTTGTCCTGTTGGCATTTTGGCCAAGAGTATTAGTGCTGGAAAGCAGGAGGCCCTGGCTGGAAAGCAGGGGGTGACACTGGGGACGCGGGAATGGGACCGCCTGGCAGGGTCCCACGGCAGCAGCCTGCGCTTTCTGCTGGTGGCTGGATCCTGGACTCGTGAACGTGCAACGGCCTTGTTTGACTTGAGTCATTTATAGCTTATCAGTTTCTGGTTTGATACGCAGAGTATTTCTAATAATAGGCAAATGTTATTGCACCTCGAGAGAATTGTACATGTTTATAAAGCACTTCACATAGCATGTGCATGCGAGGCATCCTTCATGTCACCACTTTTCCACCATGCGTGCGTGCATGGAGAGCGTGATGCCTCCCGGGTTGTGGTTTGGGTGCTGAGGCTGGGCGTCCTCCACAGCTGAGCCCCTCAGACACTACACCTGAGCCAGATGCTTTCCGAAAACATTGTGGGTCGCTCTCAGGGCTCCTCCTCCTCACCGGACAGGTGAGAGACTGTGGGCAGCAAGGACCTTGGCATTTGCGTTTGTCTCTTAAGCTCTGACAGTAATCTTGAGTAAGCCTTGTGAAGAAGGCCAGATATTAGGGTGGCTGCGTCCCTGCAAATGCTTACAATAAAGAGACTATTTATAGTTTGCAACAGGGAGACCTTTGCAGTTCTGTTCCTGTACGTACAAGATGGAGTTTCTGGAGAGGCAGGATTGCATTGTGGCTGGCGTGGCAGCGGTGCTGTGCTGAGCCGGGGGATGCCGTGCCTCCCCCCTGCCTCCCACCTCTCCTGCTCTGCCTGACCTGGGCATGGTGGGCTGCAGGGGGCACCTGGCTGGCAGTGCAGGCGGGTCTGGGGGTCGGGGCGTCCCCATCCCGGTGGTGAGCGGGCGTGGGGGCTGCTGAGCCCCGTCCGTCCGTGCGTGCGGGGTTTCACAAGCTGTAAATTCCAGGAAACTCCCCGGGAGGCACATCGAGGGAGTGGGCTGGGGGCGGGCGCGAGCCCTGAGCCAGCAGATGTGTCTGCAGGGATGAGGAGCGGGGAGGAAAAGCACAAACCTGTCTTTAAAGACATTTGTTTGTTCACAATAAAAACTGTCAGCCAGTGGCGGCCAGACAGGGCAGTTTTTATGAGGCGCAAGCGTAGGTTTGGAGGGGTGCTTGCCAATTGCTTCTTACAAGGAAAGGGAGCAGGGATTGTATTTTATCTCAGGACCAGGGGGAAAAAAAAAATAAGAGCAGAGACTTTACAAGCCTTTGAAATGTTTCAATCAAAGGAAAGTGCAGTTGAAAGCGGTTCTGGAAACATTTTTGGTGTTCCCCTGCACCCCAGGGCTCTGCATACGGTGTCTGCCCGTTGCTTTGGGAGGGGAGCAGGGAGAGGAAGGCAGATAAAGGGATCACCAGTGGGACTGTGTTCATACGGGGACACGTATCTGCTTCCTCCCGAGCTGCGTGTTGGGAGAGTTCAGCCCGGGGAGGTCCCACAGCCCCTCCTCTCATTCAGGATCTCAGTGCTGCCTTTATGATGATGGTTTTGAAATCCTGTGGCTGACCTTTCCGGCGCTGGAAGCGATCCAAGGGCTGTGTCTCGAAGTACTGTAAAGGTTAGCGAGAAGGGAGAGAGAGGGAGAGAGAAAATGTCCTTTCAGCTGCAGCAGTGGGAGAGAGGAATGTCATCTATGCCGTCGGGGAGCGGGTGGCTGGCCAGGCTCCCCAGCCCGAGCTGGGGCATCCCTGCCTTGCTGGGGACCTCGCTCCCCCAGCCCCTTCCTAAGGCGCAAATCGTCATTGCCACATTTGAGGCAATATCCCTTTGGAGAGGGCTGGAGGAGCAGTCCCTCGGGGCTGTGCTCCAGGAGCCTCCTCTGCAGCATCAGGCAGTGCAGGTCTATGGGGATCGGCGCCGCTATCCAGATCTGCCCCACGGGCCCCTCCCTGCCGGTGCCAGTCCTCTGGTGATTCCTGTTGCAGCAGATGATTTGATTTCAAAAAAGTCCGAGATGTTTTACAGAGCCGTTTCAATGGAGTTGCACCCCGTCCTCAGCTCCCACATGCCGCTGCCTTGCCAGAAACACGCTGGGGTGGATGGAGATTAAAGGGTAAACTCCAGGGCTCAGCCATCCGCTCCTACAGGATGCGAGCTCTTTCTAATTGTCCTCAATTAGAGACAGTGCCATTGCTCAGGCACGTCTTCAGGCAGGAAGCAGAGCCCGGCCATCCCCGCTGGGGCAGCCACCTAGCCCGGCCGGAGGGAAGGGCTGCTCGCTGCGGCCTCAGGGAGCGCCAAGGGGTCAGCAAGCGTTCTTGGGGGGCAGGAGCTGCCGGCTGAATTGTTTTTAGGAAGGAGTGCAGTGAGGAGATGTTAAAGCCAGAGAAAGGAGGAAAGAAAATAGCTCAGCGAGTTAACCCTTTCCTGCTTGCCTCCAGGATGAGACATCGGTGAGCAGCGAGGACTTTGATATGAACGACTCCACATGGATCTCAGCTGACCAGCACCTGAACTCCAGCCTGAGCCCCAGCCAGGACGAGAGCATGCGCAGCCCGCAGAACCTGCACAGCCAGGAGGACGGTGAGTGCCCCAGCGGGAGGGAAGCGCTCTGCGCCTCTACCACAGGATGTTTTTGTGACTTATTAAACATTAACCAGTCCTTTCTGATCAGGTATCCCACCTGTAGGATGGATTTCATATCAGGACAGGCTTCGAAGCAGTGCCGTCTCCCAGTCCTTCCCCTTTAGCCTCTGGGTTCCCGCTCAGCCAGGGCCCTCTCCAGCTCGGAGCTGATGGTCCTTGTGCAGGGACCCGGCTCCCAGCTCCTCCAGAAAAAGGTCACCAAATTCTCTCCCAAGGCATCAGGTTGTAGTTCCCGGGGTGTGACGAGGAGAGCCCCGTTAGTGCTGAACCGTGGGCTGCGTGCTGCCCCGCCGCAGGAAGGATGCCAAGGCTTTGCAATACAGGTTGCAGCTTTCCGTGCTTGGAAAGCTGCACCTTAGACAGCGTCTTGGATCCCCCAGGCAAGAAACGTGTAATCTGCAATAGCCGACAGCGATGAGACCACGGGGTGGACTTGGGTGTCTCCTTGCTCAGGGCAGGCGGTTGGAAGGGGCTGAAGGTGGCACTCATGAGATGGGTGGGAGGAGGTGTTTGGTGAAGAGAGGTGGTGTGTTTAAGCATGCTAGTTCAAAATAAAAGAGCAAGTAAATAAATGGTAGAAGTACGAGTTCAGGTCAGAGTTCATCTCCGTGATGCTTGGAAGGATTCGGTGGTTGGACTGTTACCGGCTTTTGCTCAAGAGGTTGAATCCCTCATTGTCCCCAGCCCAGCCACTTCTGGGAGAGCGGGAAGGGAGCGGAGGAGTCAAGGGATAACCCAGGCTGGGTTGGTGCTGCTTTAAGAAAGGGGACTGGAAACCCACCCCGGAGGAAAGAAAGGGCTTTTGTGCTGGCAGATCTCCCTGGGGTGGCTTGTAGCTGTTTGTGTGGCCAGCAGCAGGGACAGCAGGGGCAGCAGGGACACTGCTCTCACCAGTCCAGCGTGTTGTGGCACATCAGTTTCTATTGCAAATCTGCAGTTTTGAGAAACTGCTGTTTTTAACTAATAAGCACCAGCCCCGGAGTCAGGCAGCCTTGGTGAGGATGTGAAACCTGCCTGCGCTGCACCACATCCCTGTCCGGCGGGACGGGCAGCGGCACTTCTGCTTGTACAGGGCCCGGCACTGGGGCTGTGCCCGTGGCAGGAGGAAGGGTGTTTCAGTGGTAATGCAGCTGCTCACATCAGAAGCGTTCGGCTCTTTGGGACCAGGCTGCAACCTCCGCCCCAAGCGAGCGCTGCCTCTCATACCTGTGGCCTGGCCGGGTCTCTCCGTACCCCCTGAACTTTGCCATTCTCCCATCGTGACATTTCGGGCTTGTGGCTTATCCCTCACCACTGAATTCCCAAGTCTCATTTACAATCTAGAATGACACAGTTTTGATCCCTTTGCTGAACACTATTATTCAACAGGACAGTAATTTAATAAGGGACTCGTATTTAGGCAAATCAAGATGTTCTCACTAAAGCTAAATCCTCTCTCTCTGTCTCTGCCCTCTTAGGAAATGCTTCCAATTTTTCATGCCCTGTGGTTTTTCTTCAGAAGCAGGTGTCCTCTTTGGGGCCCTTCTTGGCTCCTTTAATTTCTTTTGTAAGGTTCAGTGGTGAGCAATAAAGCACAAATAGTCCCTTCATTTTTGTGAGGAATGTGAGTCTCCCAGGCTGTCCCCGGTGTCGGCAGAAGGCTAAACCAGGTAGACTTTGGCAGATCAGAAGTGATGGAGTCGAAGAGTAAGCAAGCCAAGCCCAGGGTTACTAATGAGACCCATCAAGAAGGGATTGGGATTTCCATCAGGCTGTCATACTTCAGGGGGCATTTTATGGGACTGAAAGGAGGTTTTGTCACTGTGGTGAATGTCCGTGTCCTGTATTGGAACTCTAAAATACAGGCTAATGCCGCTGGGGTGAAAGGCCTCGTGTCAGTCCTTCTGCCAAACCAACGCTCCCACCCAGGACTGAAGCATGCGTGAGGCTGAGAAGGGAAGAAGGACGATGGAGCGGCCCAGGTGACCCAGGAGGGCAGCGGGCGGTTAGAGGAAAGGAGCATGGAGCAGAGAAGGAGCACGTCACGAGAGGAAAGGCAAATTACTGGCGCGGGGAAGGGAATGTGCATGAATCAAAGTGTCAAGCACTCTTCAGTTTCCTCTTCTCTTGACCCATGAAAGATCTTTTTTTTGGAAGTAAATGTGTTTTACCGGGTTCACGCTGGCTTGCTAAGGCTGTGCACATGCAAGACTTTCCCAGGGAAATCAACTTGATGTGTGTAACCAGCCCGTGTGAACTGCGTGCCCCTTGGAGCCCAGCTGGTCAAGGTGCCCCTCGCAGAGCGCCCGCACCAGGGCAGCCCAAGGGCTCTGGTCAAAGTACTCCATGCCAAAACTGGATGTTTATCCACGCCTCCTGCGCTCAGCTGTCCACCGTGCCCCGCAGCAGCCCCGCAGAGCCCCAGCCTTCTCCACCAGTTGTAGGAAACGCAGCCAGTGCCGCAGCAAGCCCCGTGCCTCCCCTGCAGCCGGGCTGGGCTCAGCCCCGAGCATCCCGGCGCTGCAGCGGGGTCTGGTCGCACGCTGCCTCCTTTGGTCGGGAGCTTGTTCAGGAGTTACTAAATTGCTCCCGTCTGCTGCCGTCTGACGGGTGGGATGCTTGGAGTGTGTCTTCTGTGAAAGGTTTCCTAAAGTATAAAGTTTTAATGAAGAGTTGCCTAGTACGAGAGCAGTATCGTCTAACACGCTTGTTAAAAAAAGTCTTGTTTAAAGTACCAAAGCACCAACTCCAGGTCTTTCAGAGGCCTGGGAGGAGCAAGTGGTCTCCTATGGCATACCAGCAGAGCGGTATGAAATCCAGAGAGGCGGGAGAGCAGGGAACCGTCATCCCATGCTTTGATATGCAGGTATCTGCTAAATCTTCAGAGAGCTAAAAAGCAGCTAGGATGAAAGCCAGCACCTTCTTTTGTCTCCGTGCCCAGAAACCTTGGCCCAGTATAGCCATGCTGCAACCAGCATCAGCCCTTGGAACAGCAGGGAGAACAAATTAGACCTAATGACTTCAGTGGGTAAGGGACAGAGAAGCCACCGTTGTGAGGGCATCGGCAGCAGAGATGGGGTTCCCGCTGGGTTGGCGGTCGCACGGCGGGACACAGGACACACCGGCCAGCTCTGAGCAGCGATGCCGACGCGCACACACTCGCTCCTTCCATTTTCCTTTGTTACTCATCCTGCGGGCCCCAGCACGGAAAACGTGAAGCTCCCTGCAACATCCCTTCCCCATCGGATGTTGCTCACAGCGTACGCCCCCGCAGGAAGCCAGCGGCTACCCAAAGCGACAGTGAGATCAACACAAACTCTTTGCTGCTGAAGCGGAGCTATTGTGCAGGACATCCTGGAGGGACACGTCTGTGGGAGCCAGCACGCATTAGGAGCAAAGTGACCCTGAATGCCGCGCCATCTCGCTGTTCCCTGTGCCCGCCACCGTCCCTGAAGGTGTTCCGTGCCCGCTCCCAGCTGAGCGCAGGTCCCAGCGCCCGGCCCTGTCTTGCCGCAGCAGTTTCAGCTGTAGTCTGTCCATCTTCAGAGCCTGTCTGCATCCACAGGCGAGCGCAGCATTACGAAACCTCCCGGTTTGGTCTGGTGCATGGGGCTGAGCGGGGTATCCCACCATGGGGATGCTGTGACCTGTTCGCGAGTGCAGTGCCCTTGAAAAGAAAGCAGGAGGCAGACCCCCGAAACCCCGGTATATGTGACATGGCAAAGCACTTGAACTAATGTAGAAGATGCTTCCGTCTTGCCTGCTAATAGGATACGTCTTGCCTTGTCCCTGGCCATACGTCCTGCTCCATCGCCCAGGAGCAGTGCTCAGCCCATGGGCAGGGGTTGCTGCTCCTCAGCCCATCCTGCCCGATCCTTCTGAAGAGCAGGGAAAGCTCCTGGGTGTAAGATCTGCTTTCCCTGCATGGGGGGCATGGGGTTGCTTCATGGCACCCTGTTGGGACAGATCCTCTTCCAGCTGAGGTCCCTGCGTGCAGTCTTCGCTTGTCTGGCAGCGTCCCCCCTGAGCCCATTCTGCCTGGAGCAGCAGTGGCTAATCCAGACCTTGGAGAAAGGACTTTCTTAACCTACTTAACTGTGAAGGCACACGCTCCTCGGGGGCATCCCTTGAGGCGGTCGGCCAGGAAGGCTTCTGGGTGTTAGGGACATCCCTCAGGAGTGCTCCAAGGAGGGACCTCAAGGACATGCAGGCAGGCATTTCAGGACGCTATCCCAGGAGCAGGTAGGGCATGTCACTCCTCTGGACACCCTGCCCTGGGACCAGCAGGGACAGCACCGAGCCGTCCCCAGCACAGCAGTCTCTCTTCTGGTATGGCACGCGTCCCGCAGCTCCGGGTCACACCGCTGTTATTTGGCGAGATGCCCACGATGTGCTGCACATCACCAGGTTCCCCAAACCACCGACCTAGCAGAGTGCTTTCTGGGGAGCAGAGCAGCCCTCTTGCCAAGTGCAGACCAGAAGCCAGGCCCGTGCCTGCACAGCGAGCTCAGCTCCTGCCTGCAGGACCCCACACACCAGCCTCACTCCAGGCTCCATCCCCAGGGCAGCCGTGACGCCCTGCTCTACACCTGCACCTCCCCGACAGCTGGTACCCGACCGCGGGGCGATGGCATCCTCCTCACTTCGTCGTAGCAGGGTCACTTACTGCGGGCGGCGTTGGGTGTCGTATGGTTACTGGTTCCCCTATGCCGCCGGGGCTTTCCTCGGTTGGCCCCGTCCCTGCTCCAGGTGAACACAAATGCACCTTTGCCAGCCACAGGGAAGGCCCAGCAGACGCATGGACAGCCATCTGACGGCTGGCCATTGCAAGAGGTGGTCTGCGAGCCCCGAGACCCTTGCTTTTTCCAGGCTGCAAAATCCTCACTGTTTTCAGGGCTTCTTGCACCAGTGTTGGATTTCACCCTCCCAGAAGCCCCAGCTCAGAGCCTAAACAAGAC